GTGCTTTTTCATGGAAAACAAAAACACTCAACAAACTAAAATAGAAACAAATTTTCTGTCTGATAAAGGTCGTCTATGAAGAACCCACATCTAACATCATACTTAGTGGTAAAAAACTCGATGCTTTCCCCTTAAGATCAGGGAGAAGAAAAGAACGTCTACTCTCACCATTTCTATCCAACATTGTACTAGAAGTTCTAGCCAGGACAATTAGGCAAGAAAAATAAATAAAACCATCCATACTGGAAAGGAAGAAATAAAAGGATCTCTCTCTCTAGCTAGCTTGCTATCTGGCTATCAAAATGTCTATAGTTGTACTATTTCTTACAGGCCCAAACTGCAAACAATATTTATGTATATCAAATAATAGAATGTTATATTTACATAATGGTTATATTTACATAATGTCGATATTTATACAATGTCATATTTACATAATGTCAGCCATTATTCATTTGTTTGCGTAATAAATGAGTGGTTATACTTACATAATGAAACATTACCACTACAATGAGAATGAATGATCTTCAACTACATGTGATGATATGAACAAATATTCCAAACACAATGTTGTTCAAAAGAAGCCATAAACAAGAGTACACACTGTATTATTCTCTTTACAAAAGGTTCAAAAGCAGACAGAATTGTTCTGTGCTGGAAGCCCGAATAGTGGTTACCCTTTGTGGGAGGTGAGTAGGATAGGAGGCGGAAAAGGGAGGCTTCTGGTGTGTCAATAATGTTTTATTTCCTTTTCTTCTTGCTGATTACATGGGTTTACTCACTTTGTAAAAATTCATTGAGCTGCACACACACACACACACGTGTGTGTGTTATACTTCAATAAAAAACAAAAACCAACAAAACTGTACTTAAAAATTCCTACCTATTCTTCAAGGCTTTTTTCAAATACATCCTCATTCACATTCACCAAGTCACAAAGTCTCTGGGATACCTGTAATTGGAGGTAATCCTGCCTACTCTGTGATTCACAGTCCTCTGTGAAATCCTTGATCACTTAGCCCCACCTGGAGCTTTGGAGCCCTGGATTCCAGTGCCAACCACTTTCCAGATGAGTGACCATGAACAAGCCCCCATAGCCATTTACAATTCTTAGCTGCAAGAGGGCCACAGCCAAGCTCAGAGGTATGCTGCTAGGTATGCTGCCTAAAATCGTACCAACGAACCAGTTTGGTACAGACATCATTGCTGTTGTTGTTGCACATAGCTTGCACAGCCAAGTCCATGGACACTGGGTTTTGGATGCTCAATAATGACCCTCCCACTGCTGCTAGAACCCTTGCTGCTGCTGCTTCCTGAAATGGAGGGTGCCAACATACCTGCTACCAGAATAGATTCTGCACAGTTCCTCTCCCTTTAGGTTACCAGCTTCTGGATTCAAAGTCCATGGCAAACCCTAGGTCTTGTACCCTCACCCTAGCTCAAGGGACTCTGGGAAAGTGAGTATCTGGCTTTTTAAAGCTTTTATAGCAGGGAGTGGTCTTGGTTCTTAAAGTAGAGGATTCCCCAAACATGGGAAGAGTCATCAAAAGAATGACAAATGTCCACTGCATCACCCAAGGACAAGTTACTTCCCTGAGCCTGTATCCTCCCTCATAAAATAGAGATGATAATGGCTCCTACACATGGAAGTTATAAGGGTAAAAAGAGTTTGTGGGTATAAAGGTCCTATCCTATGTCTGGGACATGGTAGGAGCTTAATTTATGGTAAATATCATTGTTGGTGATTTGGGTTTCATTCTAACACCTCCTGCACTCCCGGGTCGCTAAACCTTGGCATCTCAGCACCTCGGGCATTTAACTGCAGGCTGTGAAATGGGGTTCCTTTTGTAATATTTGAGCAAGTTACCAAGGTCTGTTGATGGCAGCTCACCTTTTTCATCAGTCTTTAGAAGTGACAGCTCAGTGTTTGAAAAGGCTCAGGCTTTCCAACAAGGAAAGGAAGTTCATAGAAAAGGTCAGCTTTAAACTTAATTGAAATCAACTCCACAAAAGTTTGATTGAAATATTTTTATTTTTAAACATTTTTCTTTAAGTGTTTAACGTCTTTTATTGATTCAGTGGCCAAATAAGGCAGCTTCTGCTCAGTTAAGAAAAGCACCTGGTCAGAAATGAAATACATAACTGTGTTGTAAGATCCCTGCCACATGAGGCCAGCTACAGATCCCTTGAGAGCAGGGACCATGTCTTAAAGTGTTTAGTAGCACCTCAACTTGCACATAGGAGCCCTCAAAAGATGTTTTTTGAGTTATCTTCATTAGTCAAAAACAAGACACTAAACCCTTTGATCTATCTCCCTCTTACTACTCCACTTCCCCTCTGCTCCACTTCAACACTTCATTTAGTCCAAGGACATATACTAGAGGATGACCCCAGGAAGATTCCACCGTGGGCAGAAGAGTTTGGTTTTAGGGATGGAACATTCCAAATGATTTTTGTTTTCTTTAAGCCAGAATATGTTGAGGGGAACATGTCTGTTTGGGGGTGAGCACTCAAAGAAATGGCTTTGCCCTGGTTAGATGTTTTTCCTCCTCTTGTTCCTTGGGCCTAAGCGGTAGGGTGAATGAAGCCAGCGGGAATCCTTAGAGCTTCAATGGGTTTAGGAAGGGCTTCTTTGGCTGCAATAATGGAAGCCCAAAGGAGGCTACCAAAGTGACTTTGCTCCCACTTTCAGCTTGGAAGCTAGACCCCTGACCTCCACTCAGACATATGGACAAGCCTGCCCTCCTCCTGTTCAGCCTGCAAGAGAATCCGTGCTTCTTGGAACCAGTATGGCAGGGCATAAGTGTGATATAACAAAAAGATGGACTTTGGAGTCAAAGAGACCTGATTTTGAGTCCTGGCTTTGCGACTTACTAGCTGTGGGACTTCGGGCAAGTACCTTTTCTATTTGAGTCCCAATTTCTGATTTGCAAAATGGATAAAAAAACCCCAAGAAAACAAATCTCTCAGGGTTATGGGGAAAATTAAATCCTATGAGATAATTTATGTGAAAGCACCTTGCAAAGTGCCTGGTACTTGATGGGTATCTAAACATGGTAGGAAGAAGAGATGGCTGTGGAGGAAGAATTTGCCAATATTTTCCAGAGCTACTCAAGTATTTTTATAGTGGGGTGACATGAGCTGTGTGACCCTGGGTAAGTCCTCTTTCCTCTCTGAGCCTCAACTACTCCTCAGAAGAGATTTCCAACCTCAAAAGGGAGAGACTTCCAGAATTTGAGGTTAAAAGTCAGAGTGTAACAGAATAAAGATTTATTACCGTTTCCAAGACACCATCGATTGTAATATGCACAATTGATTTAAAACTACATTAAAGAACCTATCGATTGTAAGACATTCTGATTTCAGGATAATGCTGGCTCCTATTTATTAAGCATCTACTAGGTGCCAAGCAAAGGAGTCCTGGTGACTCAATGGTTAAGTGCTCGCTGCTAACAGAAAGGTCAGTTGTTCAACCGGTTGCTCCATGGGAGAAAAGACCTGGCAATTTGCTCCTGTAAAGCTTCTTGTTGTGTGCCATCAAGTTGATTCTGACTCATAGTGACCCTATAGAACAGGGTAGAACTGCCCCATAGGGTTTCCAAGGCTGTAATCTTTACAGAAGCAGACTGTCACATCTTTTTCCTGAGGAGCAGCTAGTGGGTTCAAACTGCCGACCTTTTGGTTAGCATCCAAGTGCTTAACCACTGGGCCACCAGCGTTTTTTCCATAAAGATTACAGCCTAGGAAACCCTCGGGGGCAGTTCTACTCTTTCCTATAGGGTTGCTATGAGTCAGAATCAACTCAACGGCACATAACAACAACAGGTGTCAAGCACTATGCGAGGTGCTTTACTAAGTCTTTAGTTGTTATAATAACCCAGTAAGGCAAGTGTTATCATTCCCGCTTCATGAATTAGGAAACTGAAGATGGAGAGATCGAGTCACTTTTCCAAGGCCACACAGAGAGAGGGCTTAGAAGACAGGTCTTTCTATTTCCAAAATGCGTTTCCCTCTTTGTAGATTGCTCTCCAGGCTAAGGAGTCAAAGAGATCAGCTCTATGCAGATAAATGGATTGTGAATGTTGTGCTTTCAATATTCCTCGAATCTCTGCAAGGTCCCCTGGAAGGACATAGGTTAAAAAAAAAAAAAAAGTTGTAATCTAATCAGTCTCCAAATACTGATCAATGGAGGGAAGGTGTTAACAGGGGAGTCAGGGTTGTTTGGAATCCAAATACATGGAAATAAGAAATGACATGGGTCAGAGTTGCTCAGCCCTGTAGGGGGAGGAGGAGCCCTGACCTGCCATCAGGATTGCTCCAGGCCTGTGGACACAGCAGCAAGCTCAACCTAAAGGCCATTATTCCTCAAGGTCACTATTCCTTCCACTCTGACACTATACTAATGAAGAAGAAACCTTTTGAGAAGAATTCAGGCTTTCCTGTAACCTAAAGAGGGAAACATGTGCTGACCAGCTGTCACGAGCTAGCTAGTGGCCACCTAGTACCAGAAAAAGTTATAAACTAGCCAGTTGGTTTTCTGATTAGTCTGAGTTAGTTCCCCTGTGTCTAGTTATGGGATTGAATATTTTGCTCTGCAAAGCTGTGGATTTGGCACTGACTCTGAGATGACCCTAATGGCTGACCCTGTTGTGAGGCTCTCAGAAGCATACCTTGACACCTGACTCCTGACCAGAAGACTCCTGGGCTATATGTCTGTCTCTCTGTCTAGCTATAGTCTTTGGGGGAAGAGAGTGCCAAACCCATACCAAAGGATTCCCAACATAGCTCTACCTCATCAGATGACAAAAGAAAGTTCTGCAGCTTTTTGGTAGGGTAGAAGCAGGGACATGGCATAGTTGGGGTGGGGCAGGCCAGGATGGGATTGGGGGATTGCATAGAAGATGCCTCTGTCAATCTGACTGGAAGAACTCATAGTAAAGCTGCCAGAGGAGAAAAGGTTTCTTGGTCTTGACTCGGCGAAGGCTCTTTGAATGGTGGCCGAGAGAGCACAAGGGTGGAGGTCACCGGTTCTCCATGTGGACTTCAACAGGGGTGAAGGTCACTGTTGCAGGCTGTTGGCCTCTGTTGCTGTTCGGGCCCAGGGCTGAAGGGGAGGCTGGCTTGGGGCCCTTGGGCTCCAGCTCCCTCCTGGTCCTCATTTTCCTGTAATGAGATACGGATGCCCCGTTGAACCTTTTCCCTCATATGCTGTGGGGAATGGCCTCTGTGAATATGGTTCTGATGAAGAGATTAATATAGATCATTATTAAATTACATCGCTTAATCACCAACTGTAGAATTTTACAACTGGAAGGAACCTTAGTCACCAGCTAGTCTGATCCTTTGATGTTTTGTTTAACCTAGATTAGATATTTAATTGTATTTTTTTCTATTAATGAATGAATAAAGTGTCAGATCATTGACTAGATTAAAGACAAAAGGAAGATATTAAATTTTTATGTCCAAAGTTGTAGTGTGAGCTAAATTTTGCAGCCTCATAACACTTGCTGAGTTCATTGCTAGAAATATTTAAGACCCTTTTACATAGTTGAGAAGAGAAGGTATATAAAATGTATATTTTGCCTTTCATTTCATATGCCATAAAATTTAATAACAAACAATAAGCATTAATTCTAACGTCTACAATATATTTCACCTTGTTGGCATATCAATTCTTTTTTATAAAATTTCAAATTCTCAGAAAAGTTGCATGAACAGCACAGTGAACACCGAATATCCTTCACCTAGATTTACCAATTGTTAATATTTTACCACATTTGTTCTCTTTATCTCTTTGTGTTTAAACATACACACACAATGTTTTTTCAAACTGTGAACCATTTGCAAATTAGGTGCAGTCATCATGCCTCTTCACCTCTAAATACTCCTAAGAAAAAGGGCGATCTCTAATATAACCCTAATGCAAATACTACGCTTTGAGACCCTTCCATTTTAAAGATGACAAGATTGAGGTACAGAGAGATTAGCTGATTTGCCTGCTTCTGAGAGCGCCAACACTGAACCCAGGTCTGAATTCTCAGCCCAGGCATCAGTGTAAGCAGTGTGGGGTGAAAAGAGGCTCAGAGCTCCAGCAACGATAGAGGGGAATGAAGGGTAGACACTGAGGTTTGATGCCATTTCCTGGTTTGGGATAGACCCATATTGTAATACCCTAAAGATTAAAAAAAATAACTTTTAATGTTATGATTATTATTACATGTACTGGTGGGAGTATTCACCTTGAAACTATACAGACTGGGTTTGAATCCCAACTCTGCCAGCTAGGGCCAAGTAACCTTGGGCATGTTACTTAATGTTCCTTTGTCTCAGTTTCCCCACCTATAAAATTGGGGATAATAGTAGTACCCATTTTGTAGGTTCGTTGTGAGGATTAAATGAATTAATACGTGTAAAGAACGTAGAACCATGCCTGGCACATAGTAAGAGATCACTATATGTTTGCTACCTTTACTAACAGTATTAACATTATTATAGAAACAATGCATGTTTACTACTTGTCTGAGGTATCTAGTGCTGCTATAACAGGAATACCACAAGGAGATGGCTTTAACAAACAGAAATTTGTCTTCTCACAGTTTAGGAGACTAGAAGTCCGAATTCAGGCTGCCAGCTCTGGGGGAAGATTTTCTCTCTCTGTCGGCTCTAGGGGAAAGTCTCCGTCTCTTCAGCTTCTATTTCCTGGTTCCTTGGAGATCTCCATGTGGCTTGGCATCTATCTTCTCCCATCTCTGCTTGCTTGCTTGCTTGTTTAATCTCTTTTATATCTCAAAAGAGATTGACTCAGAACACACCCTACACTAATCCTGCCTCAGTAACATAACAAAGATATCCCATTCCCAAATGGGATTATAATTACATATTTGGGGGGAACACAATTCAATCCATAACACTACACTCAAAAATAAGGAAACACTATTCCTCAGCCCCACAAGAAACAACTCACAATCCCACCATGCAGACATTTTCAACACTCTGCTCTTTATCTTTCAAATTTTCCTTGGGTATGGGTATGTGTAACTCATATGTATGATCATAATGTACATACTGTTTTGTAAACTTTGACAATATATTATAAACAACTTTCCTCATCAATAAATACACTTCAACTATATGTGTGTGTGTGTGTATATATATATATATATATATGTATATACACATATATAATTTTTTTAATAGCTGCTAGGTCTCTGATGTGGTTGTAATTATAGCCTTTTTACTTTGATTTCCTCCCCACTTTTAGCAAAGTGAATGTGATGGTTAAGGTCGTGTGCCAATTTGGCTGGACCATGATTCTCAGTGGTTTGGCAGTTAAGCAATGATGTAGTCATCCTCCATGATGCAATCTGATGAGATCAGCCAATCAGTTGTAAGGGGAGGTTCCTTGGGGGTGTGGCCTGTATCCAATATATAGATATGGATGTTCTGGCAAAGCTTGCTGGCTTTTGCTCCCTCTGGATCTTGCATTTGACTCCTCATAATCTGACCTCGAGTTCTTGGGACCTGAGCCAGTGGCCTGCTGTATTGCCTGCCAAACTTGGAATTTGTCAGCCTCCGCAGCCTGTGAGCCAGCAGCCTGCTGTCTTACCTGCTGATCTTGGATTCATCAGCCTCCACAGGCCATAAGCTAGTGGCCTGCCATCTGACCTGCTAATCTTGGGTTCATCAGCCCCTGCAGCTACATGAGTCAGGAGAAGCCTCCAGCCTGATGCCTGACTCACGGACTTGGGACTTGCCAGCATCTACAACTGTGCGAGCCATTTCCTTGAGATAAATCTCTCTCTCTCTCTCTGTATATATATGCTTCACTGGTTTTGCTTCTCTAGAGAACCCAGACTAAGACAGTGAAGGTGATAACATAGAAGTTAATGGATTTATCTTCATGCAGTCAGATTACATTATTTTATTTTTCCTTATTTGGTCCCCAAAAGTGGAGTCAGGGAGTATGTGCAGTCCAGTATGTGTCACCTCAACTACTCATGTGGTTGCTCAATAGAACCTATCAGAGGGCTCTCCAAGAGAAGAAGACTGAAACATCCCTATATTACTTCTCAATTCCATACAAGCATTTACCATAGTGTTCAAGGGCATCATCATTACATTATATTTTAAAAATATTTCTCCAGGTACAAAAACATGTGGTCACTGTAAAGTTATTCCAACAGAACAGACAATAAAGGACCTGCAAAGGATTAGAGCATTTGATGATGGACTCACAGATACTGCGGGGCGCACGCTGGCACCCACAAATGTTAGCTCCTGTTCACTCTGATTTTGCTGAGGGAACCAGTCCATTACAAAGCCCAGGGCATCCCGTACCTGTTGTACATCTTCAACAGGATCAGCACCACGGTAAAGATGATGATAACAACCACGACGATGGCAGCAACGATGGCTCCAGAACCTGCAGAGAGGAGATGGGAAAGTGTAAACTCAGATGCAGAGAAGCATTCAAAGCACTGGGAGAGGGACAACTACTGTGGCACTTGACATCCTCCACTTTGTCAAGGGAAGATGAGAGAGAGTGAAATGTACTGGGGAAACTCACCCCTGACTCAAGACAGTCATGTCTAGAGCAGCAGTACACCTCCACCCCAACTGGGCTCGGAGGGCCGTGTGCTCGGTACATCACCTGCCAAAATTCTGCCTTAGGCCAACTCCTGTTCCCAGCAGTAGGTATCAGCCCCAATATAGCTTCACATTTCTTTTGTGAAACAAACAAACAAAACACCCTCCACTCTTTTAGATAATACAAAAGTAATAAGTGATTTTTATAGATAATTTTGAAAATATAAATACAAGCAAAAAAGGGGCGAGGGGAGGAGAATAAAAACCTCATTGCCCCAAGAATCACTGATCTTCTAGACATACATACATTCATCAATATGATCATTTATATGCACATATGCATATTAAATATCTATCCATCTATCTTTTTGAATGATTTATTAGTTTTATTTCTGAAAATTCATCTTAAGGAAATATTTCTAAATATGTAAAAATATGCACTCAGTACGAATGGAACCATGTTCTATATACAGTTTTATAACAATGTCTTCATCATCCTTCCTTGTAAATTACATATTTTTCTTCATGATTTTTAACAGCTGCATAGTATTCCATTGTTTGGATGGATCATAATCTGTTTATCAATTCCCTATTGAGGGTGTATATGTTGTTTTCACATTTTCGCTATTAGAAATGAAGCTATGGTGAATGTCCTTGTAAATAATATTTCAGATTCTAATGTCAATATCAGCTCCCAGTCTCAATGCCAAACTCTAATTTTAGGTTCAAGACTAACATCCTTATCAGAATACATATTGAAAATACAAAACCCATAACAATGTTCATACTTGAAATCTATTTAATTGTGGGGAATTTACCTTAAGGAAATTATCCTAAATATAGAAAAACTGTATGAGTGAAGATGTTTATTGCAACACCATTCATATTTTTAAATACGGGCATCTTAGTTTCTTAGTGAAGGAGCCCTGGTAGCACAATGGTTAAGCATGCGACTGTTAACCAAAAGGTCTGTGGTTCAAATGCACCAGCGGCTCTGTGGGAAAAAAGATCTGGCCATCTGCTCTGGGGTAGTTCTATTCTGTCCTATAGGATCGCTATGAGTCAGAATCAACACAATAGCACGTAACAGTTTTTTAGTGCTATTATTACAGAAGTGTTAACTAACAAATTTATTTTTTCATAGTTTGGGAGGCTGGATTCAAGGCGCTGGCTCTGGGGGAAGGTTCTCTCTGACTGCTCTGGGGAAGAATTCTTGTCTTAGCTTCTCTAACATTCTTCTCAGAGTTCCTTGGCCATCTCCATGTGGCATCTATCTTTCCCTCATTTGTGCTTGCTCTGTGTCTAATCTGCTCTGTCTATATCTCAAAAGTCATAGGTTTAAGACACACCCTACACTGATATGGCCTCAATAACATAACAAGAAAAATCCTATGCCCAAATGAGATCATAGCCACATGTATAGGGATTAGGATTCCAAACTATATTTTTGGCCGGACACAATTCAATCCATAACAATGGGAATGGTTAAATAGGTATGGCATACCTACCACATGAAATATTATACAATAATTTAAACGATGATTATAAAGACTATGGTAACGTGGGGGGCACTTACCAAACCCATTGCCATCGAGTCGATTCCAACTCATAGCGACCCTATAGGACAGAGTAGAACTGCCCCATAGGGTTTCCAAGGCAGATTCGAACTGCTGACCTTTTGGTTAGCAGTTGAACTCTTAATCACTGAGCCATGGGGGGCACTTAGGATGATATAAAGTGTAGAAAAATAGAATATATTATATACACACACATTATGTGGCAACCATTAAAATATGTGCACACAAACACAATGCTGAGCAAAAGACTACAGACACAAAAAGAGTACTTACAGTATGACTCTATTTAAAAAAGTTCAAAAAACAGGTAGAACTCATCTATGGTGGTAGAAATCAGAATAGTGGGTACCCTTGGTGGGTAGCGGCTAGTGACTGGAAGGGGCCCGGAGACTTGTGGGATCCTCCTGGTGGTCCATTTTTGATCTGAGGGCTGGTTACACAGGTGTGTTTCCTTTGTGAAAATCCATCCACCTGTGCACTTATGAGTTGTGCATTTTTTGAATACATGTTAATACTTTTATTAAAAGTTTATTTTAAAAAAAAAACCTATGCAAATATTCATGGGAAGAAAGACTAGAAGGGAGAAAAGCAGGAGATGGGGAAACCACTATGTAGTAACTTGTTTTTTTTTTCCTTCCTGAGGAATCCAGGGATGATGCTTATGATTCAGGGTTTCTTAACCTCGGCTGGATAATTCTGGGTTGTAGGGGGCTGTTCTGTGAATCGTAGGATGTTTAGCAGCATCCGTGGCCTCTACCCACTACATGTCTGTAGCACCTTTCCCAAGTTTTGAGAATCAAAAATGTTTCCAGACATTGCCAAGTGTGGTCCCCTGGGAGTAGGCTTCCAAGATAAAATAGAGAACACTCATTTAAATTTGAATTTTCATAAAAAATGGAGAATTTTTTAGTATAAATATTATATTTTATTTTAGTGTAAATATTGTATTTATTGTACTTAGTAAAATTTTGTACGCTACATACTTACACTAAACAATTATTCATTGTTTATCTGAAATTAAAATATAAATGGGTGTTCCTTATTTTTTTAATTTGCTAAATCTGATAACCCTATCTGGAGGTGGGGGAGGGACAAAATCATCTTGATTGAGAACCACTGCTTAAATTAAATAAAAACAGAATCATTCCCATCTTACTGACAGTGATTCTCCACCCTGCATTTCCCCTCTGAACTGTTTTGAGATACACCTCAGCAGGTCCCTGTAGGTGTCCTCACCCAGCAAGATAACCCAAGGACCTGGTCCTGAGAGTGATCTCTTCTAGGGCTCCATGGAGGAGACACATCCTGTCATTAATCCAGCCTTCCTGCCAGACCAAATCCTACCAGCCCTCCTGATGCAGGGTCTGGAGGATATGCCCGAGGGACTGGCCTGCAGTTTGGTCTGGTTAGACACCTTCCCAGCTGAGTGGTGCTGTCTATCACGGGGCACTGTCAGTGACGTGTGTCAGGAAGTCTGTTCCAGATGCAGAGGTATATACGTAGCCAAGTGAAATGGTTAAAAGGGCCCCAAACTTCCCCTTATACCATCAACTAGTTTTCTGAAGAGTCATCCTCAAATTATTCCTTCTGGGGTCCCCTTGTCCTAGCAAATGTCTCACCAGGACTAATTTGTCCCACCTAAATGCATTTACTCCCTTATAAGTTGATGGGATGTTTTTTGCCTTGTGAAAGTAGTATGAAAGTAGCTACATTTTAAAATGATCCATTTAGAGATATCTTATAAAAGATTAAAATTTCCATTGCCATCTAGACCCCAAGTCTCCCTAATAAAAATACAGTAATAGTAGTAGTAGTAATAATGATAACAATCTTAATCATCATCATCATCATCATCATAATGCTTATCAGGTACTTAGTATGCACCCAAAGCTGTTCTGAGCTCCTTACATTGATTATCTCTTTTAGTCCTTGCAGCTACCTTATGTGGTAGCGTCAATTAATATCTCCTATCTCCATCTTGGAGTCCTGGTGGCACAATGGTTAAGAGCTTGGCTGCTAACCAAAAGGTCAGCAGTTGGAACCCACCAACTGCTCCTTGGAAACCCTATGGGGCAGTTCTACTCTGTCCTACAGGGTCGCTATGAGTTGGAATCGACTCGAGGGCAACGGGTTTGTTTGTTTTTTTAATCTACATCTTAGAGATGAGGAAACTGAGGCACAGAACAGTGCCCTGGGTCACAGAGTTGGCAAGTGGTAGAGCTGGCACTCAGACCCAGGCAGTCTGTCTCCAGAGCCCACACTCTTGACCTCCACACCAGGAACTGACTGTGATACTTGTCCTGTCAGGAGCTGACTGTGACACCTGTGCTGCCATCCCATCTCCAGCCTCCAAGCCAAGGTGACCTTACTCTTATACAGGAAGTCTTCTCCCCTGGTGGTCATGTTCAACGAGAAGAAGGTGGTATCCCCCAAACTGGTGGCTGTGGTCATCTCGATTCTGGTGAGAAGAAAGAAGAAATTTGGTTTAAAATCAGAGTAAGCCTTATTATTCCTATATGATGCCTCTTTTTTGATCTTCACTGGATAACTTGGAAAATATTCAAGTATGTAACTTCTCTTAGCACAAGTAAATACAAAGCCCTTTACTAGATACTGTGGGGAATTAACAATAATGCCTGACATTTGCAAAGAACTTCAGTTTTCAAAGCAGTTTTAATTCATTCAACGATATTTATCAAACTGCTCCTAAACATGTTTCACGCAGAATGTCTAAGTTGATCTTCTGGAAACCTTGTGAGGTAGGTTATTATTTCCATCTTTCTGATAAAACTGAAGCCCCAAAAGCTTCATGAAGCCCTCAAGTTTCCCTAGTAGAATTTAACCCAGAACTCCTGTCTCCCATTCTGTTGGGCCTTTCACCACCCTGCAACAGTGCCTGAAATGGTGTTTCTGCTTTCAAAGGTTTTATGATCTCAGGAGGCAAAAAATAACGAGATGAAAAAATTAGCTATGATTATTAAGCATTGATAGGAGCCACTGGGTTGTGAAGAATGGGCCTTGAAGAATGGGCATGGTTTGGGTGGGCAAACAGGAGAGGCGAGAGGACAGAGGTCAGGTTGCACAAAGCCCTCATCAGGAAAGGAGTTAATGCTGTTGAGCATCTACCATGACCGGGATCTGTCCCAGGGGCCTTCACACACTATTGTTGTTACTTGTTGTCAAGTTGATTCCAACTCATGGCCACCCCAAGTGTGCAGAGTACATCTGCTCCATAGGATTTTCAAGGCTATGACCTTTTGGAAGCAGATTGTCAGGCCTTACTTCTGAGGGGTCTCCAATGTGTTCAAATCACCAATCTTATTGTGCTCCTGTTTAATCCTCTCAGTCACTGAATAGTGAGTATCATCTACGTTTTGCTGCTGAGCAAACTGAGACTCAGAGTGGTTGAGTGGTTTGACCGAGGTCACACAGGAAGGAAGAGGTGGAGCTGGGCCTTAAACATAAGTCTCTGAGTGCACAGTCTCTTCCGTCCCTTTGATTCCCACTAGGAATCAAAATTCGCAATCCTGTAATCTTCCACTTGAAGCATGAGCCAGGCAGTATGCAGTTAATATGATGTTGTGACAACAGAAAGCAGTGTTGAAATTCTCCACCAACAATTATATTCTAAGCACAATAATATTATAAAGAGTTGCTCTGAAGGATAAGGAGCAAGAAAAGAAAGGAAACAACATCAAGTTTTGCATCAGTATTTCAGAAAGACTCTTCTACTTTGACTGCTGATGATCTGGAGGTCTGTGAGGGTTCTGCATGGAAAGAATTATCCAGGCTTGTCTGTGATTCTAAGAAGCATAAGGCCTCCACATAGTCACTCCGTCTGCTGGAGAAGAAATACTCTACACATCTGAAAAGTATTTGTGCAGAAATTTGTTTTTTTTTTATAAGGTAGAATTTTTTTTTTAGTTGTGCTTTAGATGAAGGTTTACAGAGCAAATTAGTTTCTCATTAAACAATTAATATACATATTGTTTTGTGACATTGGCCGCCAACCCCATGACATGTCAACACTCTTCCCTTCTTGATCTTGGGTTCCCCATTACCAGCTTTCCTGTCCCCTCCTGCCTTCTTGTAAAAGGCACCATTTTATTTACTTACGAAGAATAATAGTCCACGTATCTGCTACTCAGATTTAACAAATGTTTACAGTCATATTTTCTTCTGTTCTTCTTTATTAAAAATATAAATATTTCAAACACAGTTGAAGTCCCTTTGGACCCTATCTCAATGCCATTTCCTCCCTCCCTCCAGGGAGTGACTACCTTACATTTGTATGTATTTGTCTCATCAAATATTTAAAATATTTATTACATATGTAGGAGCCCTGGTGGTGCAAAGGTTAAATGCTCAGCTGCTAACCAAAAGGTTGGTGGTTTGAACCTACTCAGAGGCTCTGGAGGAAAAAGACCCGGCAATCTGCTCCTGTAAAGATCATAGCCTAGAAAACCCTATGGGGCAGTTCTACACTGTCACATGGGGTTGTTATGAGTCGAAATTGACTTGAAGGCACCTAACAACAACAACTACTACTACATATGTATAGATCCATAAACTCTGTATATACTGTGGCTCTCCGTATTTATTGAACAAATGTTAACTGAGGAGCTACTAAGAGACCAACCGTGCTAAGTGCTGAGAACACACTACAGGCAGTCCCCGGGTTACGAATGAGATCCATTCCGAAGGTCTGTCTTTAAGTTACATTTGTAGGTAAGTTGGAACAGGTACGTACCGTTCTTATTTAGTGTCAGTCAAATGTTTGCCTTAGTATATAGTATATATTATACCTTTCTATGCGCATAAAACACTCAAGAAACACTTCCAAACGCCACAATGTTTTTTTTACTGTTCTGCTTTAAGTGAAAGTTTACAATTCAAGTTAGCCTCTCATACAGAAATTTATACATACATTGTTATGTGACCCTAATCGCTCTCCCTATACTGTGACAGCACACTCCTCCTTTCCACCCTGGATTTCCCATGTCCATTCAGCCAGCTCCTGACCCTCTCTGCCTTCTCATCTCACCTCCGGACAGGAGCTGCCCATTTAGTGTCATGTATCAACTTGAGCTAAGAAGCACACTCTTCACGAGTATCATTTTATGTCCCATAGTCCAGTCTAATCTTTGTCTGAAGAGTTGGCCTCAGGAATGGTTTTAGTTTTGGGTTAACAGAGAGTCCGGGGGCCATGTCTTCCTGGGTCCCTCCAGTCTCAGACAAACCATTAAGTCTGGTCTTTTTACTAGAATTTGAGTTCTGCACCCCACATTTCTCCTGCTCCATCAGGGACTCTCTGTTGTGTTCCCTGTCAGGGCGGTCATTGGTGGTAGCCAGGCACCATCTAGTTCTTCTGGTCTCAGGCTGATGAAGTCTCTGGTTTATGCCAAACTGCATAATGTTTTCATGAGTGTCACAAAATAGTGTGTGCGTTTGTTATTACAAGCCATTGTATTTAACTCAATTTTTTTATTGTGCTTTAGACAAAGATTTATAGAGCAAATAAGTTTCTTATTAAGCAACTAATACACATGTTGTTTTGTGACATTGGTTGCCAACCCCATGACATGTCAACACTCTCCCCTTCTTGACCTTGGGTCCCCATTTCTATTTGTCCAGCTTTCCTGTCCCCTCCTGCCTTCTAGTCCTTGCCCCTGGGCTGGTGTGCCCGTTTAGTCTCGTATACATGGTTGAGCTACGTGTATTATTGTTTGTTTTATGGGCCTGTCTAGTCTTTGGCTGAAGGGAACCTCAGGAGTGACTTCAGTACTGAGTTAAAAGGGTGTCAGGGGGCCATACTCTTGGGATCAAATTTTAAATATAATAGGCTTTATAGCAGTCCATTCTTAAATATGAGTTGTCTGTAAGTCAGATGTTCATAATCCGGGGGCTGCCTGTAGTGAAATAAAAGAAACAAACTTCCTGCTTTTGGAAGCCTACGTTCTAGTGAGAGTGAAAGACCGTAGGTTTGATCATGTCATTCCTGGGCTCAAAAACCAACCAACGCCTCCCCACGCCCACAGTTTTGTATCTGGTAGTGAAAGCCCTTCACCAGCTATTTCCGCCCTCTGTGTCCAGCCGCTTGGCTACTCACAGCCAGCTCTGCAAAGCTGCTGTCACGACGGACCACTCCATCTTCTCCCATCATTCCGTCTTTGCTGTCTCTGTCTGGCTGCTCTAGGCTCTGGTCTCCCCAGGTCCCCACAGTGGGACTCTCCTGGTGGAAACTGGACTAGCACCTCACCTGAGCCATCCCTGGAATCAGGTCATGCTGCACTTAGACAGGGGCTCTGGTGGCTGCTGCTGTCTTGGGGCCCTCGCATTCTCACAGTGGCCCTCTGTGGCCTGGCCCTGTTCATCCTTACCTTCTCTGCTCTCCTGTAAGCCGGGGGCCCTGCCTGGAGCCCACCTAGCTCTTATCTGTCCCCTTCTCCTGAGAGAAGATCCTCAGGTCTCCCACAAGGAATAGCAGATCCCTGTGAGCCCTGTGTAGCTCTGCCTGATCTCCCTGTTCCTGCCAACCTTTCTTTCTGATTGGGCTGCCCATCTCCTGACCACCTTAAACAGACCCGGGTCTGCTATGTTCCACTGCCCACCCCCACAACGAACTGAACACATCATTGAAGACAGTCCAGTCACTCCCTCAAGAAGACTCCCACTCTGACAGAATGAACGAGTCTATCTTTCATACTCCCACAGCAGCGCTCTGCAAAGAAACAGCGTTGATCTCAGCTGCTTTGTGGCAGTTAACTTTCCATGTTCATTGTCAGGTCCCTGAGGGGAGTTACTGTTTCTGTTCTTCTTCATATTCCTCCACCTCCCCCAAACACAGTGTCTGGCTCTTCTCACCTTTGCCGGTGGAAGTTTGCTCATCTGTAAAATAAGGTGGCTTTCCCCAAGGGAGCTGACGGTTAGAGGCTTTCCCCAAGGAAAATGAAGGTTATTGGCAAGGTATGGAAAGTGTCTTTAAATGCTTAACAAATGGAAGCTTTTAGTAGCATAAAACAAAAAAAAAAAACCCAAACTCGTTGCCATTGAGTCGATTCTGACTCATAGCAACCCTACAGGACACAGGAGAACTGCCCCATAGGGTTTCCAAGGAGCGCCTGGTGGATTTGAACTGCCGACGTTCTGGTTAGCAGTCATAGCTCTTAACCACTCAACACCAGGGTTTCCCTTAGTAGTAGAGTGGGTATTAACACATATTTGCTGAACTCAGTTAGAGACGAATGGGGACCAGAAGCTCACAACAAGGACAAATTCTTTCTATAAAAATAAATATGAGCAAATATGAGAATTTGGAATGAAGGTCCTATCCAACTTCCAACTCCATCCTTATCCCCAAGGAGAGATGCCCATCCCTCACCCGACCCTATTCCCCATCCCTGAACAGAAACGGTTTTAGTCGCCTTTGCCTGAATTCTCCACTTCTACCCCAAGCAATACCAAGCTGACAAGACTTCCAGTGATGCTTTCTTACCATTTCTTTTAAAAACAGAAAAGAGATGCAAACAGGTGGCCACTGATCGCGGCTCAATCACTGAATAGGACAAACCCTCCCCAT